CAGGTAGCTGCGTCGGGTCAGGTGTTTACTGCAGCGTCCAGGTCTGGTCCTGAGTCTGCCCCCTGCTCGTGTCGCCTCCTGTCTCACGAGACTCTCCTCTGGCACCACCGCCTTGGTCACCCCTCCCTGCTTCGTCTCCGAGGCATGGCCTCCCGTGTCCTTGTCTCTGGTCTTCCCTGGTCCCTCCCTCCCCTTCCTCCGGGGCTTGCCCCTGCCTGCGTCCTCTGCGTCGAGGGGCGGCAGCGTGCTGCCCCTCACTCCTCCCAGTTTCCTCTGACAGAGGCCCCGCTGCAGACTCTTCACATGGACGTGTGGGGCCCAGCCCGCGGCCGTGGACAGGGTCACGAGCGCTACTTCCTGCAGGTGGTTGACGACTACTCGCGTTACACCACAGTCTTCCCCTTGCGCAGCAAGGGTGATGTCACTGAGGTGTTGATCGAATGGATCCGCGCAGCTCGTCTCAACCTCAGGCAGAGCTTCGGCTCGGACTTTCTTGTTCTGCGTCTGCACTCTGACAGAGGCGGAGAGTTCTCCTCTGGCCTTCTGCGAGCCTTCTGTCGTGCACGAGGCATCCGCCAGACCTTCACGCTTCCGGACACTCCGCAGCAAAATGGGATTGCTGAGCGCCGCATTGGCATGGTCATGGACGTCGCCCTTACGTCCATGATGCATGCGGCTGCCCCCCATTTTCTGTGGCCGTTTGCGGTTCGGTACGCGGCGCATCAGATCAACCTTCAGCCGAGGTTCTCCATGCCGGAGACCTCCCTAGCTTTGCTGTGGACGGGGAAGGTTGGCGATGCGTCAGCGTTCCGTGTCTGGGGATCTTGGACGATTGTCCGCGACTTGTCTGCGGACAAGCTGTCCCCTCGTGCTGCTCCTTGCGTCTTCCTTGGCCTCCCCCCTGACGCGCCAGGGTAGCAGTTCTACCACCCCACCTCTCGCCGTGTTCTGTCCTCCCAGGACGTCACGTTTGACGAGTCGGTCCCCTACTACCGCCTCTTCCCCTACCGCACTCCGTCCCTCCCCCCGCCAACGCTCTTCCTTGTGCCAGGCCCTCCCGGTAGACCCCCTCCCCCCTCAGGGTCCTGCCCCTTCAGGTGTGTCCCAGGTAGACGCACTCGAGCCTGTCAAGGTTGCTGGTGACTCTGGTACTGCTGAGGGTGCTGAGCCTGGGGGTGCTGACTCTGGGGGTGCTGAGCTTGTGGGTGCTACGCCTGGGGGTGCTGAGCCTGAGGGTGCTACTACTGGGGGTGCTGAGCCTGTGGGTGCTGAGCTTGGGGGTGCTATGCCTCGGGGTGCTGAGCCTGGGGGTGCTACGACTCGGGGTGCTGAGCCTGGCTACGGGCCGCGCTCGGGGCTAGCGCAGCCCGCGCTGGCCGGGACGGGCGACGGGGTACGACGGGCTGGTCCCCGTCGCCCGTCGAAGCGCCCCCCGGGGGCGACGCGCGGATCGACAGGGTAGAAGGCCGCCGCGCGCCTCGGGGCCCACGGCGGGCAGCCCGCTGCGCGCCTCGGGGCGCACGGCGGGCAGAAAACCGCCGCACGCTCGGAGCGCGCGGCGGGAAGAAAAATCCGTCGCAAGCCACGGGGCGTGCAACACACAAAGTTGCAGCGGAAGCAGTTAGGTGGGCCCACATGCCAAGAGCGTAGATGCTCTGATACCATGTGAGAATAGTAAGCATAGTGAGGAGCCATAGCTAGGGTTTAGCTAGCTAGGCAAGAGAGAAATGAACAAAGGAGGGTTTTCACTAGCAGCAGTTTGGATACATATAGCAAACCCTAACTGGGTTGTACCCGCAATAGAGCACCCCACTACAGGCTAGATAATAACATTCTGACAGACACCACGACGCAGGAGTTTAAGCTTTACAATGGAATGGGCGGACTCTACATCGGGAAGGAAGTCCTGAAGAATAACGTCTTCGTCCTCGACTTCATTCTTGATCAAGGTACCGCTGACAGCGACGCAATCTTTAACTTCACCACCTGGTCGCACCCACCAGATCTCGATCCCGACTTCAGCCGTGGAGGATTCAGGTACTCGCACACCATTCCTGAAGTAGAGTGGACAAGAGCGTTAGCAACAACGACAGAAGCAAAGATAACACCGGCAGAAGCAGAGACACCACCGGTAGAAGCGGTGGCAACACCGGCAGAAGAACAGTCAACACCGACAGAAGCAAAGAGAACACCAATCGCTGGTCCTTCGACGGCATCAGTTCCCACCGACGACTCTCCACCGACTCCAGCCCATCAGCTAACTTCCACTCTACGCGAACTCCACAGAAGGGCCAACACTATCGTGACTTTTTACTCCAACTCCGACCTGTACAGAAGATCACCTGGACATCGGGCTGACGAATCGTTATGGAATCAAAGACTAGGGCACCCTAGCAACACAACACTGAACAACAAGATACGAGCAGGAGTGTTCGACAAAGACTCACTACTTCTCCACGATGGCAGAGAACTTCAACAAGTTTGCGGGACATGTTTTACCTGTCTTGAAGTCGACTTACCCCACCAGCCGTTCGTCTCTCACCACAGCCCAAGCGCTCCCGCGTACGCACCACTGGAGAAAGTCTAGACCGACATACTGTACGCTCGTGAAAGTGGACAAGGAGCGTACAACTACGTCATCACCTTCATCGACGCTGCCACCAGATACGCCAGGCATCTTAATCTTCCGAGTCGCGACATGGCCTTCGAAGCCTTCATCGCATGGATTCCAGTAGTAGAAAGGGAATCGGGAGTGAAGCTAAAAAGCTTCCAGTTAGACGGAGGAGGAGAATATCAGTCACAGCGGTTCAAACAGTACCTGCCAGAGAGAGGCATCAAGTGACTCATCTCTCTTCCTTACACTCACCACCAGCAAGGCATGGCAAAAAGAATGAACAGGACCCTCCAGAACACAATACACAAGCTGGTACGTGGCATGCGGCTACCCAACCAACAGAGGTCCGAGGCAATGGACCATGCTATGCTGCTGCACAATTTGCTCTCGTCATCATTGTGTGGGCTGTAGTGGGGTAGCCCATATGGGGTAAAACCCAATTTGGGTTTTCTACTTGTACCCATCCTGCTGCTAGTTCATTCATTCTTGTGCGTTCTTTTGACTTTGTTTCAGAGCAGGTCCTAGCCTAGGACCGATATCTTAGGGCCCACTGAGTAGCGCTACCCCACCCATCGCGCTTCTGCGTCGCCCTGCCCTGCCTTGCCCTGCCCTGCGCCGCCCGCTGCAGCGCGCAGTGCTTTGCCCGCGCGCCGCATGCTGCAGCGCGCCCTGCTGAGTTGCGCGCCGCCTGCTGCACCGCGCCTGCCCTGCCCGCTCGCCGCACCGCGCGCCTTTGCCCTGCCCGCGCGCCGTGCCGCCGCGCGTCTCTGCCCTGCCCGCGCGCCGCGCCGCTGCGCGCCCTGCCCTGCCCGCGCGCTGCACCGCCGCGCGCCCTGCTCTGCCCGCACGCCCTACCTGAGCGCTGCGCCTTGCCCTGCCGCGCGCCCTGCCTAGCCGCGCGCCCTGCCCTGCCGCGCGCCCTGCTCTGCCGTGCGCGCCTTGCCCTACCACGCGCCGCTCACTGCTGCCCTGCTGCTAGCGCGCTCACCTGCCTAGCCCTGCCTGCGTGCTGGTAGCGCGCCCGACTGCTGTGCCCGCTATGGCCACTCTCAACGTTCTCACCTTCGATTCGGAGGGCCGCCTGATAGAGTTCAATGTGTGGCTAGATGACTTACAGCTGATCCTGCTGATAGACTCTAAGGACGGTATTTCGCTATTTGACCTCACGCCTGGCGCCTCGCCTGCCCCTGCCGCCACAGCTGACAGAGCGACTCGCTCACAGTGGCTTACCCGTGACGCTGCTGCTCGCCTAGCCATTCGCAACCACCTGCCGTTAGCTGAACGCGCCCACTTTGGCCAGCATAAGACAGTTAGAGCACTGTACGACGCTGTAGTCGCTCGTTACTCCTCCCCGGCCACTGCTGCTCTAGGCCGCCTTCTCCTGCCCTACCTGTTCCCAGAGCTGCCTGCCTTTGCAACAGTAGCTGACCTCGTCACTCACCTCCGCACTAGTGACACTCGCTACTGTGCTGCGCTCCCCGCCGATTTTCTCGCCAAGAACCCTCTTCCCATGTACATCACACTCTACTTCATAGTCACCCGCCTCCGTGACTCTCTTACCGCAGTGAAGGACCTCCATCTCGCCCTTGACCCCACCGACCTCACTGTCGACCTTCTCGAGAAGCATCTCCTAGCAGCTGAGACTAGCATAGTCGCTGTAGGCGCTTCTCGTGGCACTCCTCCCACTCTCTTTTTTGAGGGGTGTTCGCCCTACCCCCTTCTCCCCTCAGTCGCCTCTGCTGCAGCTGTTGACTACCTTCGTGCTGAGGAGGTAGGAGCTGCGTCTACCCCTAGTGGGAGGCGCTGCAGCGGTAGGGGTAGGGGAGGCAGGAGCGGTGGGGGTGGCAGAGGTGGAGGCGGTGGTGGGGGCGGTGGAGGAGGTGGAGGGGGCGGCGGTGGAGGAGGTAGTGGTGGTGGGGGTGGAGGGGCAGGTGGCGGCGGTGGTGGCGACAGTGGGAGTGGCGGAGGCGGCGGTGGTGGCGGCAGTGGGGGTGGAGGCGGAGGCAGTGGTGGCGACCGAGGTGGTACCAACCAGAGGGGAGGCCTTGGAGGTGGCCAGCGGCAGTAGCAGCGTCAGCCCCTTCCGTCTCAGGAGCTCCGTGAGTGGCTTGCTCAGCGTGGGGCGGTTGGGGGTGGAGGTCGCTGCCCGTATGTCATTCATACAGCTGACCGCACTGGTCAGACATGCGGGCAGCCTCACACGCAGCACCGCTACTTCTCCCGTCTTACCGACGCCTTTCACGCAGAGTTTTCGGACGCGCCTGAGCTCCCTCACTGGGCAGAGCTGCTTAGGCAGGGTGTGGATATCTTTGCTCTTGACTTTGATGCTATCCTATCTCCCATTTATGCATTGACTGTTAGTGCTGAGGGTGACTGTTACCTGTGTATGCAGCCAGACCCAGGTATAGAGGCTGCTGCTTTAGGTGCTGGTGAGTCTGCTCTCTTTGGTACTGCGTCTGATGCGGCCCTGCACACCTTCCCGCTTGACTCAGGCGCTTCCCGCTGTTTCTTTTGCGACAGTACCACAGTCACACCGCTCTCCGCACCTGTTGCTGTCTCTTTGGCTGACCCCTCTGGGGACCCAGTCCTTGCACGTTCCTCCACTGTTCTGCCTTCTCCAGCGGTTCCGTCTGGGTCACTGTCAGGTCTCCACCTCCCCTCGTTCTCTACGAACTTGGTGAGCACTGCTGTCCTTCAGGATGCGGGGGTTGACACCTTCTCCCTTGGACGGCAGCGTGAGGTGATCTGTACGTGCTACCGGACTGGCCGCCACCTGGCCACGTTCACCCGTCGGCCTCGGTCGAGTCTGTACACACTAACTACTGTGCCTCCTCAAGTAGCTGCGTCTGCGTCTACGTCAGGTCAGCTTGCGCCCCCGTGCTTGTCTCGCGCCCTATCGCACCAGACGCTCCTTTGGCACCACCGCCTAGGTCACCCCTCTGTGGCACGCCTCCATGGCATAAACTCGCGTCTCCTTATCTCTGGTCTTCCCAGATCTCTACCTCCCCTCCCACCCTCGCCTGCCCCTCCCTGCCTTCCCTGTGTCGAGGGGCGGCAGCGCGCCGCTCCTCACTCCTCCTCGTTCCCCTCGACAGAGGCTCCCCTGCAGACTCTCCACCTGGACGTGTGGGGCTCAGCCCGCGTCCGTGGACAGGGCCACGAGCGGTACATTCTGCTGGTTGTCGACAACTTCACGCGTTACACCACGGTCTTCCCCTTGAGCCGCAAGGGGGATGTCTCTGATGTTCTGATCCCTTGGACCCGCGCTCCGCGAGTCCAGCTCCGCGAGCAGTTCGAGACGGACCTTCCCGTCCTGCGTCTGCACTCTGACAGAGGTGGTAAGTTTTCCTCCGACCCGAGGAGGGCCTTTTGTCTTGCGGAGGCCATTCGCCAGACGTTAACGCTTCCGGCCTCTCCGCAGCAGAATGGGGTTGCTGAGCGCTGCATTGGCTTAGTCATGGAGGTCGCTCGTACCTCCATGATCCATGCGGCTGCCCTCCATTTTCTGTGGCCATTTGCAGTCCAGTACGCTGCGCATCAGCTCAACTTCTGGCCCCGTCTCTCCTTGCCCGAGACCTCGCCCACACTGCGTTGGACGGGGGAAGTAGGCGATTCGTCGTTGTTCCGGGTCTGGGGATGTCGAGCCTTTGTCCGCGATACGTCCGCGGACACGCTCTCCTTCTGCGCCGTTCCCTGTGTCTTCCTTGGCTTTGTCCCTGACGCGCCTGGCTGGCAGTTTTACCACCCCACCTCGCGCCGTGTCCTGCCCTCTCAGGACGTCACGTTTGACGAGTCGGTTCCCTTTTACCATCTCTTCCCCTACCGCAATGCCCCTCTCCCTCCCCCGCCGCTCTTCCTCGCACCAGGTCCTCCTCCGGTAGACCCCCTCCCCCCTCAAGTTCCTGCTCCCTCAGGTGTGTCCCAGGTAGACCCTGTCGAGTATGTCGAGGTAGCTTTCGACTCTGGTGCTGCTAGAGGTGCTGCGTCTGGGGGTGCTGGCTTGTGGGTGCGGGGCCTGGGAGTGCTGAGCTTGAGCGTGGGGTTGATGAGTCTGAGAGTGCGGAGCCTGGGGGTGCTGAGTCTGAGGGTGTTGAGCCTGGGGATGCTGAGCGTGGGGGTGCTGAGCTTGGGGGTGCTGAGCATGAGCGTGCTACGCCTGGGGGTACTTTGTCTTCTGGAGGTCCTCTGGGTGTCTTGTCCCGTCGGGAGATGGGACTGGTTTGCTCTCCCACCACAGATGCGCGAGTGGTTTGCTCGGCGCTGGAGTGTCCGGATTGGTGCTGCAGGAGCTGGAGCTGCAGGAGGTGCTGGAGCCCTTGGTCCCATAGATGCTCATCTTGGAGGTACTGGAGCTGCTGGGGCTGGGGGTGCTGCTGGAGCTACTGCAGCTGGAGGTGCTGCTGGAGCTGGAGCTGGAGGTGTTGCTGGAGCTGGAGCTACTGGAGGTGCTGCTGGAGCTGAAGCTGCTCGAGGTACTGGAGCCGCTGGGGCTGGGGGTGCTGCTGGAGCTGGAGCTAGAGGTGCTGCTGGAGCTAGAGTTGGAGGTGCTTCTGGAGCTGGAGCTGCTGGAGGTATTGGTAATGTCGGTGCTGGTTCTGGAGGCGCTGAGCGACCGCGACCGTACTTCGTTCCCCAGCTTCAGCAGGTTCTTTGTCTCCCGCCTTCTACTGACCTTACTTCGACCAAGAACACGGACGAGACTTCACCGTAACCTTTGCGCCGGTCAGCCGATGCACCTCTCTGCGAAGTCTTCTTACGATAGCCGCCATGAACCGGAAAAGGCCCCGTCAAATCGACGTAGCTAATGCGTTCCTCTACGCTCCCGTCGACGCCAAAATCTTCGTCGAGCAACCACACGGATCCGATGCAGACCCTAACCAAGTGTGTCAATTGCCGAAGTCCCTGTACAGCATCAAGCAAGCTCCGAGGGTGTGGTAGCAGTACCTACACGCCCAACTAATCCGCATCGGCTTCCGTTAACTACCACACGACCAAGGGATGTATCGACTCACAAAAGGCGCTGACTACATCCAACTCATCGTCTACATGGATGATCTACTCTACATAGGCTCCACCGACAACATCACGACTTGGTTCAGAAGGGAGCTACAGCGGGACCTCACACTCAACGTTTCCTCCGAACTCAGTAACAAAACCGTAACAATGTACCTGGGACTCAACATACAAGACGGAGGGAACGCGATCTACCTCAGCGCTGCAAAATATGCCAACACCATCGTCAAATGCTTCGGCCTAACCCCAGCTACCATCTCCATGCCGTACCGCTACACCGCCTGAAACCACAAGGAAGCCTCCGCTCCACTCGGATTTGCTAGCATACGCGACTACCAACAAAAACTGGGATGTCTACTCTTAGCAGCTGTCACCTGCCGACCAGACCTGTCACATTCAGCGAGCCAACTCGCTACCTATCTCAAGAAGCCCGAAGCAGAGCACATGGCAGAACTGGATCGCACACTACACTACTTCGTCAGCACTCCGACAGTCGGCCTAGCCTACTTCAAAACCGGAACCACGACGCCTAAACTAATCGGCTACGTAGATGCTGACCACACCGGCGACTCTGACAACAAGCGATTGTCAAAACATTATAGCTTACTTATTTGTGTAGGCTATAGTGGGGTATCCCATAGGGGGTACAACCCAATTAGGGTTTCATATTTGTACTCACTTCATTCATAGTTCATCCATTCTCGTTCTTTCTTTCACATGGAATCAGAGCAGGTTCCCTCCTAGGGACTGCTTCTAGGGCCCACCGAAGCGCGCCCCGAGGCGCGTTCTCCTTTTTTTTTCGCGACCCGTTGTGTCGCCCCTAGCGGCCCGTCGCGCCGCCCTTCCCTTAGCGGCCCCGCCGCCCTTCGATCGCGGTTCCGCCGCGCTTCCTTAGCGGCCCCGCCGCGCTTCCTTAGCGGCCCCGCCGCCCTTTGATCGCGGCCCCGCCGCCCTTCGATCGCGGCTCCGCCGCCCTTCCTTAGCGGCCAGGCCGCCCTCTGCTAAGCGGCCCCGCCGCCCTTCGATCGCGGCCCCGCCGCCCTCTGCTAAGCGGCCCCGCCGCCCTCTGCTAAGCGGCCCCGCCGCCTTGCTCACGCGGCCCCGCCGCCCTCTGCTACGCGGCCTCGCCCGTGCACCCGCCCGTGCACCTACCCGTGCGGCCGCCATTGCAGCCGCCCGTACGTAGCCTACAAGCCGCCCCAGCCACCCGTGCAGCCGCCTGTGCATCGCCCGTGAGCCGCCCCAACCGCCCGTGCAGCCGCCCGCGAGCCGTCCCAGCCGCCCGTGCGGCCGCCCGCGAGACGCCCGCGCCGCCCGAGACGCCCGCGCCGCCCGAGCCGCCCGAGCCGCCCGCGAGACGCCCGTGCCGCCCGAGACGCCCGAGCCGCCCGCGAGACGCTCGCGCCGCCCGAGCCGCCCGAGCCGCCCGAGCCGCCCGAGCCGCCCGTGCCGCCCGAGCCGCCCGAGGAGCCAATCTTCTGCTCCTGTGAGGCTCCTACTGCTCCTGGGCCGGCGTAGCTGCTGTGCTGCCGTGTTGCTGTGTCGCTGTGCTACCCGACTCTTCCTGCCCGGTGAGACTGTCAGCTGCTACAATGGCCACCCCCAGTGTCCTGACTTTTGACGCTGAGGGTCGCGACATTGACTTTGCGGTCTGGATTGAGGACCTGCAACTGTACTTACTGTGCGATGCGATCGATGAGGGGTTTCTCTCTTTGACTTTGTCTCTGGCGCTGTCCCTGCCCCTCCTGCTGATGCTGACCCCACTGTTCGCTCCAAGTGGGCCACACGCGATGCTGCTGCATGTCTTGCTGTGTGTCGCAACCTCCCTTCCTCCGAGCGTGCACACTTTAGTCAGTGCAAGACCGCTCAGGCCTTGTACGACGCTGTAGTTGCGCGCTACTCCTCCCCTTCCACTGCTACACTGAGCCGCCTCATGCTACCGTACCTCTTCCCTGACCTTGCTGCCTTTCCCACAGTCACTGACCTCTTTACCCACCTTCGCGCTAGTGACACTCGCTACCGAGCTGCGCTTCCTGCTGCCTTCCTCGCCGAAAACCCCCCTCCCATGTACATCACCCTCTACTTTCTAGTCACCCGACTCCCTAAGTCCCTTCGTGCTGTTAGGGACCAGTTTCTCTCTGTCTGTCCCACCACCCTCACTGTCGACCTCCTTGAGAAGTCCCTGCTAGCGGCCCAGAAGAGCATAGTCGCTGTAGGGGCCTCTCGTGGTGACCCGCGCACCCCCATCTTTGAGGGGTGTTCTCCTTCCCCCCTGCTACCCTCTGTCGCCTCTTCTCCTGCGGCCGACCTCGTTGGTTTAGAGTCGGTCGGTGCGGCGTCTGCCCCCAGCGGTAGGCGCCGCTCTGGCAGGAGCAAGGGGGGCAAGGGAGCGGGTGGAGCTAGCGGGGGCGGTGGCGGAGGAGGTGGGGGCGGCGGGGGGAGTGGGGGTGGCGGTGGGGATGGAGGCGGGAGTGGAGGTACTGGTGGCGGCGGTGGAGGCGGAGGTGGCGGCGGAGGTGGTGGCGGAGGAGGCAGTGGGAGCGGCGGGGGCGAGGGTGGCGGTGGCGGCGGTGGCGGCGGAGGCGCGGGTGGCGGTGGTGGAGGTGGTCGGAGTGGCTCGTCCCAGAGGAGGGGCACTGGGGATGGTCAGCGCCAGCAGCAGCAGCAGCAGCAGCAGCAGCATCAGCAGCAGCACTCTCGCGACGTCCCCGCCCCTCAGCAGCTCCGTGAGTGGTACTAACAGCGTCAGCGTGGTGGGGCGTTCGGTCCCTACACCTACGTCCTTCGCACCGGCGACCGCGCGGGTGAGCAGTGTGGGGGCACCCACACCGCTCACCGCTGCTTTGCCCGCCTGACCGACGCTTGGCGCCAGCAATTTCCGGAGGCCTCTGAGATCCCCCGCTGGGGAGAGCTGTCTAGGGCTGGTGTAGCTGTGTTTGATCTTGACTTTGATGCTATCCTTGCTGCCATGTATGCTGTGACTGTTAGTGATGATGGTGACTGTTACCGGTGCTTTCCGCCCGACCCGGGCATTGGTACTGCTGTGTCAGGTGCCAGTGAGGCTGCTGCTCTAGGTGCCAGTGCGTCTGTGCTCTCAGGTGCTAGTGAGTCTGCCCTCTCAGGTACTGTGTCGGCTTCTGCCTCCCACACTTGACTCTGGGGCGTCTCGCTCCTTCTTTCGGGACTGCACCACTCTCACGCCGCTTAGTCGGCCGGTTGCGGTGTCCCTGGCTGACCCCTCTGGGGGTCCTGTCCTGTCTCGTTTCTCCACAGTCCTCCCGTGTCCGGCGGCTCCCTCTGGCACCCTGACTGGTCTTTACCTCCCCTCGTTCTCTACGAACCTGGTGAGTGGTGCTGACCTACAGGATGTGGGGGTCCACCAGTTCACTCCTGCTCGTCAGCGGGTGACACACTGCACAGAGGCTAGCAGAGGTCGCCACCTGGCTACGTTTACACGTCAGCCAGGGTCGAGCCTGTACACACTGACCACTGCTTCTCCTCCCGGTGCTGAGTGTGGTAGAGTCCCTTCGTCTGGTCAGGTGTTTGCTGCAGCGTCCAGGTCTGGTCCTGAGTCTGCCCCCTGTTCGTGCCGCCGTCTGTCTCACGAGACTCTCCTCTGGCACCACCGCCTTGGCCACCCCTCTCTGCTTCGGCTCAGAGGCATGGCCTCCGGTCTTCTTGTGTCTGGTCTCCCCCGGTCCCTCCCTCCCCTTCCTCAGGGCCCTGGCCCTGCCTGTGTCCCCTGTGTCGAGGGGCGCCAGCGTGCTGCCCCTCACTCCTCCCAGTTTCCTCCGATAGAGGCTCCGTTGCAGACGCTTCACATGGACGTGTGGGGCCCTGCCCGCGTCCGTGGACTCGGTCACGAGCGCTACTTCCTGTTGGTGGTTGACGACTACTCGCGTTACACCACAGTCTTCCCCTTGCGCAGCAAGGGTGATGTCACTGAGGTGCTGATCGACTGGATCCGCGCAGCTCGTCTCCGGCTCAGGCAGAGCTTTGGCTCGGACTTTCCTGTGTTGCGTCTGCACTCGGACAGAGGCGGAGAGTTCTCCTCTTGCCTTCTGCGTGCCTTCTGTCGTGCGCGAGGCATCCGCCAGACCTTCATGCTTCCGGACTCACCGCAGCAAAATGGGATTGCAGAGCGCCGAATTGGCATGGTCATGGACATCGCTCGTACGTCTATGATGCATGCGGCTGCCCCCCATTTTCTGTGGCCGTTTGCGGTCAGGTACGCGGCGCATCAGATCAACCTCCACCCCAGGGTCTCCAGGCCGGAGACCTCCCCAGCCCTGCTGTGGACGGGGAAGGTTGGCGATGCGTCGGCGTTCCGGGTCTGGGGATCTCGGGCGTTTGTCCGCGACTTGTCTGCGAACAAGCTGTCCCCTCGCGCTGCTCCCTACGTCTTCCTGGGGTTCCCCCCCTGACGCCCCTGGGTAGCAGTTCTACCACCCCACCTCTCGACGTGTTCTGTCCTCCCAGGACGTCACGTTCGACGAGTCGGTACCCTACTACCGCCTCTTCCCCTACCGCACTCCTTCCCTTCCCCCGCCCCCGCTCTTCTTGGTACCACGTCCCCCCCCGGTAGACCCCCTCCCCCGTCAGGGTCCTGCCCCTTCAGGTGTGTCCCAGGTAGACGCGGTCGAGCCTGTCGAGGTCACTGGTGACTCTGGTGCTGCTGCGGGAGCTGAGCCTGGGGGT